ACATGTTAATAATAATACAAAATAATAATAATAATATTCTAAAATAATAATTAATAAATAATAAATAATAAAATAATGAACTAATAATTAATTCGTTCTATAACAACAGTATTAAGAAATGATTAGCAAATTCTTTTGCTCAACTCTTCAACAATCAGTAATTATCATTTTATTAGCTCAATAAAAAGTCTGGAAAAAAAAAATGAAAATTACTAAATTTCTAATAAAGAGGCATATAAATCTATATTAGGCCACCAATTTTTGTGTCTAAAATTCATATTTTTACTATTGTTTGTTAATATGCTTTTATTTTACAAAATACAAACAATTCACAGACAGTTCTTAGAAACAATATATACAATAATTTTTTTTTTTAAGGATAAGAGTTTAGTGATTATAATTTTTTAAAAGTGAGGTTATAATTGAATCATGTAAATTTGTATTATCCTTACTGCCCGCATAAATTTTATAATAGATAAGTAAGTATATATTATATGTAGTTTATTATACATACAGTAACCCCCAAAAGTAAAAAATTAAAACCACATTAAAAAAAATTTTGTTAATAAAAAAATATTAACTTTTATATATATTATATAAATTCAATATTTGTATTCTATATAGCACATGAAATCACAGAATTGGTACTAAACTAAAACAGAATTGCATATAAAAAAATGCTAAAAGCACATCACATCACATCACATCACATCACAGAATTTTAGTTAACCACATGCAGAATTTGGTTTTATTCACCGCAGAAAATCATCATCCCTAACAGGGCCAGTGATTTTCTGTAGTGCTATTGGGTCAATTCTATCTGTGCTAAAATACCAATTCTGCAAATAAAATTAATTAATTCTGCACAGTTTCCGTGGTATTTCTATAGGTTCTGCATGGTTTCTGTGATATTTTTTCGCTTTTATATTGTTCAGCATAGCGGAAGTTTATTTTGATTGGTTGTTAAAATATCCCGGAAAAAATGTTGATCATACCTCAGATAAAGTATTGGCCATACCCGGACAAGAATTTATTACTCATAAAACTTTCAAAAAATTTGTCTGAAGATGCATATTATAGCCTTACAACATATTAATTTGATTCATAATAACTACTTTATTTATATCAGAGCCAGTAGATTTTAGTAGCATCTAAAATAGCGCTATTTTTTAACAAAATAGCTAGCAACATTGTTTGTGCTAAGATGCGAAATTTGCTAAACATATAACTATTCTTTTTGTTCTTAAGCTGGATTTATAAACGTGCAATTATATGCATATTGTAAATAATGTAGAGACACCAGTTTATGCGATTTGAAAAGCATTTTCGTGTGAGGTGATAATTTCAAATTGTGCGATATTTATACGAAGAACCATATACATATTTTGTATTGTTATAATTTTAATTTATCATTGTATAATGTGATAATTATGGATTTAAAGCAATTTAACAATTATATACATATGCTTTTATTATTCGCTTAAAAAATGCCCGCACAAATGTCACATAAATCTTGTAAAAACAATAACAATTAATAGCATTTTATGCATCTATTATGTGATCGCATCTGTCCGTGGTCTCTAAAATAATGACTAGTAAACTTATTAAAATAATAGATTAAGAACTCATCGAAGAACATATGACTACATTAAAATTTATAATTAACAAATATAAATTTTGTAATAAGCTATTTTGCTAAATTTGCAAAATTTACTAGCTAATTTTGCTAGCTAGTTTTGCTACTAACGACCACTGACTCTGATTCATAACTTGCAATGTATATATTACTTTTTTTATAATAAATACATTAATTTTACAATAAACAATTAAGTTTCACAATACAATATTAAATTGGATTCTAAAATACATGAACATTCCTAACCACTACTACTGTAAACGTTGTATTTATAACTATACTTATAGCCTAAATGAATATAACAAAAAAAATCAAGTACAGTTTAGAATGGTAGTTTGAAATAATACTTTTTATTAGGCAAGCAAAACTAGTTGAAACAGAATTTTGCAACTTTACTCACCAATTGCTTAGGTCGCCAAACTACTTTCCGACCTTTTGAAATCTTTACTTCTCATCTAGATCTTAAACCTTTTGTATCCTATTGTATCCCGGGTCAAAAAACAATAAAACTTAAGGTAAAATACTAACGACTTCTACATTACGTATTACAAAAAATTTTTCTTATATGATATTACGATTTTTACTTATAAAAGTACTTTAAAAATTACAATTGGCTGTATAAAAAAAAAAATCGTCACCAATCATATTTAGTCTAATTTTAGCCAATCAAAACAAACTTCCGCTATGCTATATTGTTCAATAAGTTTTTATAAGTTATATACCAACTCTACGAAACAAAAGTAAGTTCAGGCTTTCTATCTTTTTTTTTTTTGGCTAATTTTATTTTATTTTAATCGCTTTTTTTAATTCTTTATTTTTTTCTAGTCAAACATGAGCTATACTATAAGACTTCGAAACTCCAGCAAAAAAGCCAAGTTAAAAAAGAAGTTGGATGATGGCGATATCGAATATTCCTATGATGTATTTCAAAGCAAGCCCACTTCTAGCGACCATGACTCCATCATTGACAACTGGATTTCTTCCTATGGGGTAAACCAGCAAACCAAAAACCAGTTAAATAGTTTTAAGAAGCAAAAAGTCGGCAAAGCCAAAAAAACCTTTAACAGTATAATTATCAATGGTAAAAAAGTATCTATTTTCATCATTGAGTTTGGAGAAGAAGACAGCGATAGAAACAGGGAATATTCTGAAGCCAGTGCTAATGTTGAACTCACATCTGATGATAAGAATGCCAAGAAATTAATTAATTCCTGTTTTGAAGACCTTGCCATTCTTGCTCTTACTGGCGGCTCTGATAGTTATACTCTTTTTCTCGAATAAATTTTTTTTTATTTTAAATTTTCACCTCATAGTAGAGGTTTTTTGTCTTTTTTAAATTTTTTTTACTATTTCTTTCTAACAAGTTTTCTGTTCTTTTTTCTGCAGCTGAGCAGTTTTTTTTCTTGTTAAGAATTTATTTTTTTTTTTTAAATTTGTATTTTTGTATTAGCTTTTTAGGCTTTATTTTTTTCATTTATGCTTTCGTTTAGAAGGCTTTTTTTTGTTTTTTAAATTTTGTTTAAGTTTCCTTTATATAATTTTTTTGTTAGCAAATATGAATAAAAATTTTTTATTGAAAAAAAAATTTTTTTCAAAAAATATTTTTTTTCTTAAAAGTTTTGCTTGTATTTCAGGTTTATTTATTTTCTACATCGGAACTTTTCAGAGATTATATTTTTAGAACCTTGTACCTATAAAAAAAACAAGGTTCATGTTCAAGAGGATGCAGATGCAGTGAGTAACTTATTGAATAGGATAATTGTGGGCTGTGAGGTTCAGAGCATACTAGATATAGAGTTTGAGATATTTATTAGATATTAAAATATTTTAAGACATATGATTATAGTGTGTATAGGACAATAGTAAATTAAAAATTTTGATAGCTATTTATTTGATAGTACTGTAGCAGTATTTAATGTAATAATTTTAGGTACCATATATTACTGATTAAAAGCAACCTCTGAATAAAAGCAACCCCTCAGATTTTGGAGCCAAAAATTTAACTACAGTTATTATGTTTTACTAATAAAATTGTACTTGAATAAAAGTAACCCCTTCATTTTGGCTCGAAAAAGTTCTCATTTTTGTTGCAACATTTTGGTTGCTTCTATTCAGTAACATACGGTAATTAAGAGAAGAAAATAGTGTAAAATGATGAAAGTAATAGTATTTAAAAGTTAGATGGTGTAAAAGTAAGAACAGTTTCAAAAGCACAAAAATATAGGCCTTACATATACAGTACTAATACTGTTTAAAAAACTATTCTAGAGACTAAATTTTAATATTGGCAGGCTACGAAAGAGGCATGGAAAACTTGGTCTGAGTAATTAGAGTCAAATAAGGTTTTAGATTGTCACGAGATACTAATGCGGGATCACAGGATTAGACTTTATATATCTGAGAGGAGAATTAGAATGAACTACTTAAGTGACTAGTATTTGAATTTTACCAAGTTCTTACTAGAATTGAACTCTGACTTAGTTCAACTGCTTTATTGTAGATGCAAAAGGCATTGTGTTTATA